GTTTATAGCCCCGTACCGGCATCAAAGTGTTGGTTTAATCGAACGGTTTCAGCGGACCTTTGTGGATAGACTACGGAAGCTGAAATATGCACTGGGTGGTTCTTGGACAAAGCATGTCCCGCTTGCCCTAGAGGCAATGAACTTTGCAAGGCACAGTACTACAGGTCAGGCACCGGTGGACCTTTGGCATGCCTCCCCAGGGGAGCTGCAACGGGCTCAGGAGAGAACTAGAGAGCTTCGAATAGCCCGGAACAAGCGGCGGAGAACTAGACCAGTGCATTTTTATCCTGGCCAGCCGGTGTTGGTTTATGATGAATTGGCAGCGCAAAGGCGAGGTGACAAATTCAGTCCAGTATGGAAGGGACCGTATCAACTAGTGTGCCGAACACAGGGTTCATATTGGAAGGCTCGAAAACTCGGTGATGGTGATGCTCTCACAGTGGAGCCCGGTCGTAGACCAAAATTTGTCTTCCATGAAGATCAGTTACAAGCGTTTGATGCGGCCTATCAGTGGACTGGACGGCAATATTCGCAGTGAGTACTGGGGGATTGATGCTTTCGGAGTTTGCGCAGGGTAAGCTGGTGTGCCCATGTTCGATTACAGTCCATTCTGCTCAAGTAAATGGCCACCACTGTAATCGAGAGAAAACCGTAGAGAAAGGAAAGGTCAATGTGCTCAGCAGAAATCACATTGAACCGCATGACATACGGTTACATTTAGCGGTCATGCAGCTGCTGAATGATCAAGGCAAACGTATGCACACTCAGCTTCTCTCCAGTGCACACGAATTGATGCATTTACAGCTGAGATGTCCTCCATCTCGCTGTTTTGCAATGCCGCTCATCAGAACCGTCCAGAATGAGCAACAATGACGTTAATTGAAGAGCGCTCTACGGGCAGCACGGACGGCTGTGACTGGGCTGTGAACTGGTCAAGGAAAAGGGCGAAAACTAGTCAGCTGGAGCCGCATGCTGACGGGATACAATACAGTTTGGCGGTGATGGAATTTGGGTGTACAGAATTGGGTTTAGTATGCGATTATGGTAGGTTGTCCAGTACTATTAGCCGGGGAAAAAGAGGCACGGTGTGTGCAGGGCGTGTGGTGATGGACCCTGAGTGAGAGGTTGGCCGGTTTGTAAGGGCCTTTTGAGTGACTTTCAGAGGGAAAAAGGGCCAATTCCTGACCCGTTTTGGGGAGACCATGACCGTAGGGGGTGTCCTTGAATGGACCTGAACTTTTGCAAAAGGTCCTAGGACCTTGATGGGACAGGTACTGGCAGGGTATAGGGGTCCAGTGAGGCGTGATGGGACGTTGGGTGCGGCTGATAACAGTACTTTGTGGTTTTGCACCTGTACGGGAGACCGCCCTTTTGATATTTCGTGTAATGTACCGTATGTCGGACATGACCGCGCCCCCCTGCATCTGGTCCCCGCGGGTTGCGCATGCGCCCCGCCTACGCCCGCTCTGCCCGGTCTGCTTGGCGCGCCGCAACACCCCAGCCTCCCCGACCGTGCAGGGACCGTCGGAAGCCCTCCCTCGCCATGGCCGGAGCATCCCCACGTTCCGCAGGCGGGTCGAACGTGCTCACGTTCGGTGTGGGCGGACCCTCCGGTTCCGCCATGCTCCATGGCGGAGCGGTGCTTTCTCTCCCTCCGGGGATATTTGTGGATCCGTGCACGCAGGGACGAAGGGGCCCGGGCGAGCCTTTGGTCGGCCCGGACGAAGCGGGCAAAGTGGTGCTCGCGTGCCGCAATGGGCTTGGTGGAGCGGAGGCATGGGCCATGGCCTCCGGCCCCGGAACGCCCCTCTTTTGGATCCACTCCGCTTTTGATGCCACGACTCGGTGGCGAGTAAGGCACCGGAACGGCCAGCTGTTTGCCGTCCGAGCTTACTGGGTCGCGGCGATCCCCAATGTTCGGTTGGGCGATCGGCTCCGGCGGAGCGTCTTCGCCGCGAATTGGCGCGGCGAGGGCGTTTGGAGCATCTCCGAGCGAGATGCATGGATGGCCGCCGAGCGCGACGGCCCGGACAGCCCGCCCGCGCCGTTCGCGTGGGCCGGGGAGGGGTGCGTGGGCGGCCTCGCCGAGGGAGACGGGGGGCTGCCGGTGGGGATGGTGGAGCGCGCCACTCGGGCGTACTGGAGGGTGGTCGCTGCATCACGTTGGAAAGCTTACGTAACAGCTGAGTGGGAGGTGGAGCTGCCAGGCCCGGAAGGAAACTGGATGATGCAGGGGGTACAGTTAAGGGCCCGTATGTCGTACATGGGGGAGAATGAGGTGGAATGGATTAGGCAGCCGGGAGACACTACCCACTACGGAACTGTGGGGTGTGATGGATGTACTTGGGATGAAAAGTGCATTAGGTGTATTTTTTGTTTGGATAGGGGGGTTCCCCCTAGTTTGATTTTTCAGGAACCTACAGCGGTTAGTACTTCGCAGCGTGAGTGGGAAGAAGATGTACAGCAGTACATCTTCATGGGAGTGCTGCCAAGGGGTGCTGACGGATGTTGATTAATATTGTAGTGGGCAAAAGTGACTTTTTTGGTTGTATTGGGTGACCCTTTGAAAAGGGTCAACTTGGAGAAGGTCAATGGGAACTTCTGAGGAGTACGAGGGGTACTGGCGCCTTTTCCTTGATGTGTCTATTTGCTTATCCAAGGGTCACTGAAGTGTAGTGCCCTTGGAGCTGGCGGGGGTATTTAGGAGGGAGTGTTTGGGGTGTGGGTGCCCCCTCTCCCCTCTCTCTCCGCCCCCCACCCGTCCGTTTTTGGTTCTGGCGGTCTGAACGGCGGGTGCTCTGTTGAAAATGGTCGTGCTGTGAGTGTGTGGAGGTCGAACGTGGTCGAAGGGGAGCAGCTGTGTAACGAGCACTTTCGTTTCCGTGTGCCTTCGCCTCCTGACCCTCCGGGTCAATTGTCCTTGGGGTTGTGCACCGCTGCACATACCCATAGCTCGACGCCGAGCTCGATTCCCATTCCGTTGACCGACTGACCCGTGCGCGCCCACGTTGGGCGCTGACTTCGTCGACTCAACGACCCGTCTTCATCGTCCGCTGCTTGGCGAGTGAGTGGAGCGCAGCGCTGGACCGCAGGGAACGAGCATCGACGACATCGGTTTGAGACATCTGGAGAATGGTCAGTACGCTCGTCATACTGAGCTACTGAGTGAGGTGTGGAGCATCGTTTCGCAGTTTGAGCGTGTATTTTCGTGCCTCTCGTCGAGCTGGTCAGCAGTTGCATGTTTCTCGTTGTATGTGAACGGCTAAGGTGAACTTGAACACGAAGTTCAGCTCTGGGGTTGCGCCTCGCTTCGGCAGCGCTCGACCACACCCCAAGTATCCTGTTGGGCTTGAATTTACTTGCTGTGGTGATTCTCGTTGTCCTGTGAGTGTTTATGAACTAAGTTGGTAAAAGTGCAGGAGTGGAACGCTCAGAAATGCTGGGCGATTGACAGGGCTGTAATAGTGGCTGTGTCATTAGTGACTTTCGTTGAGCGTATATGGCTGGACGGTGAGCCATATTGCTGTTCCCAAGCGTAGACACCCTCCTGGCGGTATTTGTCAGCTGTTTGTAATATCATGGCACTCGAACAGCGCATGAAAAGATGACGAAACATTAGGAATTGCATTAAGGATGTTGATGAACGGACTAAGTGTAAAGGACAGAACGTCTGTTGTCCTTTTGCCTCGGCTGTAAACCGTTGCCGTGGACTCGAGCGTACAATTCCCGTCCAGGGATCGCCACCCCTCGACCCTGCCTGCCTTCGTCAGTGGCGTCGCCGAAGGACAGCTAATAGAATAGATGTTAGGGGAATTGCCTTGGGGGCGAGAGCATAGTTACGGCAATACGAGGGTAATTTGGAAGTGTGATGAGCTGTTCGGTGTTGGCGGATTGATTAGAACGGTCGGGGTTGGGATTTTGTGACGGAGAGACTGTTTGAGGACAGTTTGGACAATAGCTGCGTACGATGTGCTTGTAACAATGTCTCACTGACTGAATGCGCCTCTCTGCGCGAGGGCTTTGCCCTTCGAAGTGGCCCTTCGCTTACCGGAACAGGTTGGAGGCCGGGTGCGGTGAAAGGGGAGGGAGAATGACTGAGGGCTGCTGTAGCGTCCATGTGCTCGCAAAGTCTTTTCGTCGATCCCAAGTCCAGGGCTGCTGAAAAACATTTAACCCTTCTGCACAGTAGCGCAAGGCTTGGCCTTTTTTCTGCGGAGACAAGTTAATAACTTTTTTGCGGAGCGACACAAAGAAAAATAAACAACGCTCTGAAAGAAGTGCGGAGCAAATAGCGTAACGGCAAATTTTTCTGATGAGGAAGGGTTGAATATTTTGAGGTACTTTTTTGCATTTTTAGAACAGTGCGGAGTCCCGCTGTAGTACCACACTCCCCTCTTAAATGGACAAAAAAAAGGGGCGCCGTTGGGAGCCGTGCGCTCACAATGACGTCGTTTGAATACATTCATAAATATTAATTGACCCAACAAGAAGTCTCCATGCACCAAACGGAACACCTTGTGCGAAGGAACGCCTGTCCAATCAACATTTGGCCCACAGGGGCATTTGATCACAGGATGCAAGAGCCACCAAATCGAATCTCTGCAACACCCAGCAGGGAAGTGAGTCTGCCACCTATAGCCATCTGAGTGATGTATAAAAGAGCTTGACACATGGAATGTGAATTGTGGGTAATAAATTGGTCAAGAGGAATGCCCAAGCGCTGCCTTTGCACTAAACAAGCAACTCCAGGCATTTTCCTCAGCTTAAGGAATCTGCCCAATGGACTTGTTCCATTATCCTCACCGGATACGTTGAAGGATAGATGATGCTCAAATACAATCAGTGCAGAACATCCCCACACCTGCTGGCTGCTTTTCCTTCTGTCACAAAGGGTCCTCTAAACTCGCTGGCAATGCATTCTCTCTGTCCCAAAGGTCCTTAAGAGTTCAATAGCCACCCAAGCAGCCCTAGCACGCCAGTCCCCCTTCTCTTGCTGTGTGTTAGTATCGGGGTACCGAGGGATCTACGATGCGAGAGTATGCATCAATTCCTCCAGAAACGTTGAACACCCGCTTAAATCCTTGATCAGCAAGAAACTGCAAAATAGCGACACCGCAAGTCAGCGACTGAACGAACACTGATTAGGTTTTCTGCACCCATCACTGCCTGCAGGTTGATGCGAGGGGTTGCCTGTCATGACTTTATCCTGACATCGTCGTCAAAACGTTGCACTCTTTTCACAAACTGCAATCCACTGAATTCATGCAGGTTGCTCACAGTGCCAACCAGCTCTTTGCTGCCTTGAAAGGGGCGTGGGAAACACAGCAGCAAACCTTTGGTGGGCATCATTGATGCAGAAGCACAGTGTCAGACAGCCCTGTGCCTACTATTCCAAATATTCCAAATACATTACTAGGAAAACATGCCCGAACCTGTGTGATGCACCACCCACAATACCCCTGCCTACCTGCGCCACACTGTGTGACCGGATCCCATGGTGGCACAGCACCACCGTTTCCCTTTCTGGATCTAGCTTCGCTGCTGCTGAGGGACCCCAGCTTGGGAAACGGCTGAAAGGTCTCAGGGCAAAGTGTGGCAGGAAGCTGGTTTCGTGTTCCCAATCTTCTCGAACATCCAGCAGTTGGGAAGAAGAGACCTGACAGGAAAGTAGGGCAAATCGTGCAAGGTGAACACATTTCAATAAATTTGCAAAGTATTGTTTTGGGCTGGAAAAGCGACATGCCTTGCATCCCATGCAAAGCAACAGATAATCATGCAACATGCTGCATATTGGACTTGCCAATGCAGCCAGGCAAATCAAAGAATTGGCCAGGTGTTTGACTGTGACGACGTGCAGCTAAAGTGGCATCTGCCACACAGGAAACAACATGGTCAAAGCAAGGGCAAAAGCAGCAAATCCCTTGACATCTCTAATACTGGACAAGTTTTTGCTGGCGTCGTTACCCATTCGTCGTCCACCATACGGTCACTCAGCTCCTCCACACTCATTTGCGAAACCAAGCCACTGTGCAAGACAGCAGAAAGCACAAGTCTGCAGAACAATCCGTGGTTGAAAGATGTGTGCGGCTACTACTATATCGCAAATGCAGGGTTATGCCCTCATCGCATTCAGGACCACACCAACGCACATGTAGGACCAATGAAGATGCAATCCACGATTTGGAGTGTGGCAAAGGAGAGAACGGTCCACAAGCACTCCTAGCACCCATTGCTCAGGGTCCATGGTGACAATGCTAGACTATGAGCATTCGTTTCCAAGAATCATCAAGCACATACTGTTGAATTAGCAAAGTCACAAACACAAGTGGCGGCTCTCAAGTGTACAAAAATTTGTGGATAAGAAATCATCATTGTGGCTTTTCAATGCTTCCACTGTTCTTATGCGATCTGCACATGTCCTCTCAGAATTTCTGTGCCTGAATTCACAGTTGACTGCACCCAGCTACATCTTGCTCCCCGCTTCCTGTGCTAGAGGCTGCTGCACAATTTGACATTGCGGTCTCCAGTGAATGTCCAGGTCGCAGGACATCCCTGTGAAACGAAAGCACACAAATCAGTCCCAGCACACCATGACCTGATCCTGTGCTGGCTGCTGTTTCTGTTGTGCTTGGAGGCTTACATACCAATTTTTGCAGCATGTAACGAAATATCCAAGAAATGCTGAGGTGTGTGGTGCCCAATGTATAATGTGTGTTTCTCTCCTGTTGAAAAGCACCAACCGCTTGCATGCCAATTCCGGATTATTGCTCATAATCTCATTCATAGCGGCAGATCAAAACAGGCAAGGCCACTGCAGGCTGGTGCAACTGCCCTCAAGTCAAGTGCGAAGAAAATGAGCATTGATCCTGGCAGTGCGATAGATTCCACCGTTTCTGTAGCATGTGAAAGGAACAAGATCAACAACGATCAAAACAAAGCATGAAAAACAGCATACTCCCTGGCATTCCATGTTCATGGACTTGGTAAAAAGCTGTATTGTATTCGACAGGGTCCCCCAATGATAGCCAACGCCGCGATTTGGTCAAGAATGCAACAAAGATTAGCTCTGCTCCATGCGCATCGCATCTTGGCGCCATAAAGTCATGTTGGAAAGTCGCGTTCCGCGGAACATACCAGGCCGACCAATGCGGCAGTCCCACCGACACATGCCCCCGGGGTGGCCTCGTCCATGACTGCTACATTCCTCTACTTTAGAACGTCTCCGGAGCACGTTATGAGTCGCAACGCGGCCGAAGGATCCAAAGGGCCAGTGACAAAGCCTTACCAACACAAACATTGCAGCCTAGCGCCACAATCTGTGGAGATGTACGCAACACTCTATCGCGGTGCATTTCGTGCCATTGCGATTGAGAATTGGGCAGGGGTGGATCGGGTTCCGATGGCCAAGTCGACGGTCCCTCCGATGCGAGCCTCACCAGCCTGCCGGCGCTACCCGCTGCCATCCCTTCCTCGTTGCTCGCCTCGGTGCCAACAGCCTCAGCAGCTGCGAGCCGTAGCTGGGCGCAATTTGATGGACTCGCAGAGACTGCTGCATCGCGTGCGCGACTCGGGAAGCGGGGCGCGAGACCGAAAGGTACACAGAAGACGCGGGCCTGGGGTGCCTTCCCGTACTTGCAGCAGTGCACGATCGCCAGCCACTCTGCAAGGCACTCCACCGCTCCTTTGCTTAGATCAACATGTAATACATTGGAATTCAAAAAAAAAGGCACTACACCGGAAGCGCCTTGGATGCACAACAATCCGGTCACATGTCGTCTCAGGGTCTCAGATAGTGATGCAAATGCGGAGTTCCTTTGAGGGAATTCGACAATTTTAAGAAAGATTTTTTTCTAAATATTCTGAAAAAAAATTCTGATTCAAGTAAAAAAAGCAGCCCTCACCGGTGGCGGCAGTGCTCAAGATGAAACAACAGCATTTGCGCATGGAAGATACGGCCGCCTGCCACGGTGGTCTGCAGTGCATCGGCAAACAATTTTCCCACCCGGTACGACTGCTCCTTTAACCCACAAGCCGCGGCCCATGACAAGAGAATGCCACACCCAGCACTGGCCCCAAAAGGGCATCCCACAGATCCGTCTTTTTGGGCGGTTGGTGTGACCCAATGCCCAGACCACACTACTGTAAAATATTAAAAACTTCCGCATAGTTACGTAACGCTTGGTCTCTATTTGCGGAGAAAATATTGTAAACAGTCACGTAAATCTGGGTCTTTCTGTGCGGCACAACAAAAAAGAAACAGAAATAACGCTCTCAAAAGCGAAATGCGGAGGAAAAAGCACGACGGTGGAATTTTCTGATGCGGAAGGGCCGAATATTTTAAACTACTTTTTTCCACAGCAAAATGATAAATGAATGAGTTAGCGGTGCATGCAGGCTTCTGTTTCAGCACGGACAGCTAAGAGAAAGCCTGACCGGGGGTCGAACTGGGTTCCTCTGGATGGGACGTCCCACTGTTCTACCAAACCACCTGGCCATGGGCAAGGAAGAGGGTAGTCCAACCCTTAATTCTTGTGGGCATTAAATGAACAAATGAACATCATGATGACATAGTTGACTGCTATACAGACAATGGCTGTCCGTCCTGTAAGCCAATCCTTCCTGTTTCAGCTGTGTCTTTTCATGTGCATCCCGTATTGTTTCAGGACACCCTAAACCCTAAAAGCCTAAAACCACCTATGCTACCTAACCTAACTAAAACCTATGCTAAAACCCTAAAACCGCTGACCCACTGGCCGGCGTTGGCCTTGTCAGCGGAATTCAGCGGACGAACCAGGGTTCCCCACGGAATTAATTCTGCCCTTCCACCAGCACCCCCTCTGCGTGGCACCACGCAGACGCGGCCGTCCTTGGCGAATGTGCAGCGAACACCGCCAGGCCACCCATTGCCACCCAACCTCCTCCGCGCCCGCGCCCCGCCCACCCGCGTCGACCGCACCAACCTTGGCGCGCACACACGCCACAGAGACGCCCCGCCGAGGCCACCACATCGCGGCACGGCCCTTTCCCTTCCCAGATTAGCCGAAGGAGCAAATAAGAAAACCCATGACAAGCTTGAAGCCCGGCGGTGTGCCCGGATTCCTGGGGTCCGCACATGGCCCCGTGCTCCCCTCCAGGGCTTGCACAAGCCGGCGCGACCTCTCCATAAGCCGGTGGATGCAATCCTGCCCGCCTGGCGCCCCGGCGGAGGTCGGGGATTGCATGAATGCCGAAAGCCAACTCGGGGTAGAGGAGGGCAGCGGGCGTGACGGCGCTGGGCCCTGCGCCAGGGAGGGGAAGGTTGTCGATGCGGAGGCGAGAAGGGTGTACCTGGAGGGCATGTACCGGAGGGCCGGCCTGGGGCACTTGGGGTCGATGGGCGGGCGGGTCGTGCCGATGGCCATTCAGGTGGGTGGAAAACCCCAGGTGGTCGGGAAAACCGGGGCGGGGAGGGAAGAAGAAGAGGAAAATGTGCTGCGTTCGGCGTTGCGAAAGAGCTGTGCGTGTCACCGCCGCGGTATGTGCAAAGGGGGCTGGAGCAGCTGCAAAAATGTCCGTTGGCCACGACCCGGGGCCCACGTGTCTTCCCAATTGGGAGTTTGCTGTTCAAGAGAAAAGAAGACAGGTCAGAAAATGGGCGACCCCTTCTGAGCAGGAAAGAAGGGCGGCACTTGTTTCCGTCGTGCGAAAGGTGGCGCAGGACACCGATCATGGGAAAGCAACACGACATGGTGTCCGTCGCTCGCAGCAATAGAACGACGTGGAGACGTCGGCCAGTGCTGGGCAGAATTGTGCATTTGCGCCTTGTGCTGGGCTTTACGCGTGCCCACATCAGCAGAACATGTTTGGCGACCAGATGGGCTACAATGCCTGGATTCCCCAGAGCGAGACAGCAGGGGTGGACGCAGACCCAGCTGCGCAGTTCACGGAGGGAGCGCGTGTCAGGGATGGAGACACAGCACTTTCGTAGTGGTACTGTTCGCTGTGATCTGATTGACAATAACACTATTGTGGGAACCGATAATGGCACCAAATGGCTCTCCAAGGGGGTTGCGCTCTAAGCCATGGCAGCCCAGGCACTTGTGTTTGGTGGCCGGCAGTTGGCAACTGTGCTTTATGGCTATCTGCTTCAGTGGCACATGTATCCATGCGTCTGCCCTCCTCTGTTCTCAAGCATTTCGTGCTTGGCTGCATCCGTGACTAAATCCTCGGTTGCTGCACTCATCAAAACGTCATGGTGCACTGCTCCTGCACCTGTTTAACACTGGCCCTAACCAGTTCCTAACGAATTGCATTGCCAGTCCTTGCCCATCAAACCACAGGACTGCTGGCACCAACTTCCTTTATGCCATTTCCTCGCTTGACCTCCGTTTGCAGGCATTATAGACTGGTAGCACGCAGACAAATTCGTTGGCAATGAACATAAGCTAGATGCTTTGGATTTATGTATGCCAGTCGTCGCCTGCAACATTCATGGGTGCCTTGAATGCCTGGAAGGCAAAATGTTGTACAAGGCATACACGGTCTCCTGATAGCTGTGGTGGTGGCTGAGCAGGTGGTAGAGCCTGAGGTGAATGAACAGCGGGTGCAGAGCGAGGTCAGCACAGCGCCCAGCGGCGGCAATGGCGATGATGACCCAGACTTCTATGCTAATGTGGGCGATGCACTGCTGACCATCCGGCATGAGATTCCCTTGTTGTTTGAGAAGGACCTGACATGTGAGTGTTGCCTCGTTTCTTGTTGTTCGATGCTTCTGTTCTTGTGTTCGATGCAAGTGATGTATTTCATGGGAAGGCCCTGTACGGCTAACAAAGCGTGAAAAATTCCTCTTCAATAATGATGTTTAGTGCGTGGTGTTTGTCTTCTCCTAATTCTGCAAGATTGCATGACGTTTCAGATGTGAGGTGCGGCCTCTGTCTCAGCCAAAGAGATGTGGCCTTTTATGACCTTGCAACAAAGTACACAGCATTGTATTGTCCCAAAAGGTTTCATCGCATGATATTGAATGGGTTGCTGTCATGTTGCCGTCATGTGCTGAGTAGATAAATTAACAAAACGAAGACAAACAAGCATGTTGGCTGTAGGCATGTCCGCCATCGCCTGCAAGGTGCATGGTTCCTTGCTTTGTCTGGTGAAGGCTATATATCAGGGAAACAGGCTGTTGTTCATCACAGATTGCGTGGGGTGTCAGGCTCACACTGTCCACACCAGAAAATGGGCGGCATTGTGTTGTGGAGTAAATTATCCGCAGTTTGCATTCGTGCGTTGTTGCTGTTCTATTCCTATTTCTCCCTTGACTCCAGTACGTAAAATCACATTGAACAGCCTGGGTGCCCTGCAAAGCCTAGGTACTCAACCTGTACTCTGAGAAGTGATCAGGGCTTTGTGCTACCTCGCAAAAAATTGCAAGGCGCTGCAGATGCAAGATGTTGATCTTGTCCAATTAGTGCTTAATCGAAACGAATAGGTGCTTGCTTCCCCACAGAGAGAGGGTGGGGGGGGGGCTGGCAGGTCAGACTTTGTAGCGGGTCGCAGATGTTTGTTTGTCCTTATGATTCGCATTGATTAGGGGAACACTTGCTCAACATGTTCAGACCTTACGGAGTGTTCAGAAGTGTTCTGTCTCTATCCAGTGCTGATAAATTCTCGAACGCATCGACGACTTCGAAATCATCACCTGATTAGGGACAGACTGGGTGTGCATTGCTTGTTTCATAAGTTGGGATCCAAGACACACGGGAACGAAGTGCAGGTGCTGAAGAAAGGAATGCCATCAAGTGTGCCCATCTGATGCCCACAATACACCATGGGCACTGCTTCTTGGCGTTGCCTACAGTGGCCACTTCTGCGTGTGCCACATCTTCTTGGATATTGACAAGCAGAGGTTTGCCGGCTTTTGCAGATGACATCTACAGGGAGGACATCGTTTTCAGGGATCCCAGGAACAGCTTTCAAGGGGTCAGAAACTACAAGATCCTCTTTTGGTCGCTGAGGATACATGGCTGGATTTTTTTCAGGAAGATTGGTGTCGAGGTGAAGAGTGTGTGTCAGGTTTCTGAACGAGAGATAAGGTGAGTGTGGCAGTCAGTTGCTGTTGACCAAGTTATAAGTTGCACTTTCTTCATTTCTTTGGCCCAATACAATGTTGACACTATTGTTGACAGTATCAACAATGATTCGCTACTGCGTTCTAGATACGGCCTAGTTGTGTTCCATTAGGTTGCTTCTCAGAGTTCATGGAGCTATGTTCAGGGCAGTGGTGTGGTGTCTTTGTCCTGTACTAGAGTAGCACGACTATGTCAACCAGCAGGGGTCCGAGCCCCTGATTGTGTCAGCATGGTTGACCTAAATGTATGGCATTCTGTGTAATGCAAGTAAGGAAGCCTTGGTGCTCGTCAGAATGTGGCTCTTACAAAACTTCATCAACACTGCGCTGGCTCTACAACTTACGCATTGTTTCCATTAGAATTATGTAGAGAGCGATTCATTGGTGTGAAAAGAAGCATTGAACACACTGGACACTTCCCTCTTTGAGCATAATACACTTGTGGGACTCTCATCCACGATTATGTGGAAGTGTAAAAGAGTCTCGGAATGTGTGTGGAAGTGTCTTTCCTGCGGCCAGCACCCAAAGCATCCAAGCACTGTGCAGCTGGTCTACCAATAAGGCTACTCTCCTGTCAATGCAAGTTCTTGCCGTATTTGGGATGGATCCTGCTCGGCTGCAAATTGTATGCAGTGGATCTTCAACCACCTCCTGCATCGTTCGAATCTCTAAGCATTGTGCACTTGTGTATTGTCCATTCACATGTCCATCAATGCCTGGACAGAACAGGTTGGATTGCCACTCTGCACCCATTTGCCTTGTGTGGGATTTCTGTGCTGTGGTAGCAGCAGTACTGCAGTCAGGGTAGTCTTGCCAATCTTTTGTTGCAGCAATGCTGAGTTGTGGAATGCAACCTGGCTGGGTGCATGGGTAGAGGGAGTGGATTGTAATACAGAAGGAAATCTGCCCATGTTCTGGTGTGTCCACTCCTGAGTAAGATAGAATGTGAGAGAATATGCCCTTTTGGAACGAATACATTAAGTCCATGTAGGTGGTGCAGCAAACAACGCACTGGCCAAGGCAAGTGGCTCTGCCATATAACGAGGCATGATTCCGCTTTTCCTCCTCCTTCAGGGAGGTTTGGCAGGAGACCCAGGAAGATACAGTGTAGATACAGATGAGAAGACGAAACTGTGCTGGGTTTTGGTGCTCACTGTTTTAATTTTTCGCAACTGCAGGATGCGCTGGTGCGTCCATGGCATCCCCAGGATACCTTGGGAGGCTGAAGGCATTTTTGATGGTGTCTCAATCTACAAGTTAGACCGGTGAGCTGCCATGGGCAAGGCGTGATGTGGCGTGGTACGCAGTGTGGTTGTTTTCTGCGCAAAATAAATGATTCTGCTGTTGTGGCGTTTGATGTAAGGTGCGCAGTGACAGTTTTCATTTCAAACGTCGCCTCAGAAGAATTGAAGATAGCCTTTGTCAAGCACTTTGTACTGTAGATGAACTCTTGCAAACAACGGAAGTATCATGCGCTCCTCATCATGTGTGGATTGTTATCTTAGTCTGTGTTGCCACTGCCCTCCTGGCTGTGGTGGAAGTCCCCGCCATTGTTCCGTAGTGCTGTGCTGGACCTTCACTGTTCGTAAACTGTGGAGCAGCAAGGTGGAATGCCAAAACCTACTGGTTATCTGCAGTGCCTGGCAGTGGATTTCTTAGATTGGCAAAGGAGTGGTGAACTGACAGACCTGCCTGTGGCTGGAAGGCATGGGAAGATTTACGAACATGAAGTCAGCAACGTGATCTTCAGGGATCCCCCAGTCTTTCGCATTCCACTGCTGGCAAACCTGTCACTTGCCCCTCGACGGGCACGGCAGCCGTGTCCAGGTAAAAGCGATGTCTGGCTATATTTCCTTGCCATGCAAGCAGGCAGCACTTCTTGTCATCCATCAATATATGAGCAAATGATTGACAAAGACATGGGGGAACAAATCTTGGGCGGAACGATTGACTGGAGGCAACAGCACATGTGTGCGTCTGACGATCACTGTTCTTTTGTCTTCCATTTTGTTTCCTGATTGTCCCCTTTGCGGAGTGGGTGTCCAACAATCTTTCAGGTAATGTCCCGCCTGGATCCATGCATCTACCACTGCAGATGTCGATGGCCGACCATTATTCGCCTTTCTATCCCTATTGTTCACTGTTCCTTATCATTGTACACAGCAACTGCGTTGGTAGTATTGTCTGTAGTGGCAACACTTGCTATGCGAAATGTACGCTGTTATCACCAGGAAACGTAAGAATTGCGGCGCCCATCACCGTGCATTGCGCCACCGTCGAAGTGGATTTGTGTACCGTTGCCTTTTACCGAAACGGAAGGTGCCCATGCGTCTACAGGCACTGTGCAAGGCAGTTTGTCTCCTTTCATTGCTGTCAGCGGTTTCGTCTTACGTCCCTCTCAAGCCGTCGGTCTGAAAGGGATGTCGACCTGCAGAATGTGGTAGTCATGCATCAGTTGTGGCGCTTGTAGCCATGGGGGCCCTGTGGTCCGGCAACTTCGACGTCAGTGGTTCAAGGCTTGGGGACGCCATTGTGCAGCACTCCATGCTCCTGACGAACAGTGTGGTGTGCATTGGCCATGATCGCGTACGCCAACCTGGTTCTCAGAACAGCTTTAAGAGCCCAGAAGCACACCTTCTAGATGCGTTTCAAGGCGTTGTCTAAAGTCGCTGCAGAGTGACCTGATGTGTCGTTCTCAAGAGCGCGGCTGCCTGACTCCGTCGCGCATGCGCTGTCCTGCGTAGGTGCCTGGTCGCTGAGCCTGCTTTACCTGATCCAGCGCTTCAGCTGGGTGCGGATGTACCTGGTCGTCCTGATGTCCATGCAACTCCGCAACGCCAGCGGCCTGGCCGCTCCAAGTTCGTGAGGCTGGGACACGGCGCTTCCCGACCTTCGACTTGGCGTTTTGGGTGGATGCAGGCATCGAAAGGGGAGCCCTTGGGGTTTGGGCTGGCTGCGGGCACATGACCTCAGCTTGGTCGGTTGCTGATGTCTCCGAACGGAGGTGTTATGCTCGTTACACCCGGGGCTGAGGAGAGAAGGCCTTTGTGTTTTTTTGTGTCAGGCGCTTTTGGCTTTGCTATTGAGCCGATGGAAGGTGGTATGTGTTGCAGATGGTGGGCTGCTGAATGGCAGCTTTCGCTGCACCCTCGGGGCCCATAGCCGGGGTTCATCCGCTTCTGGCGCTTTTAGCCGGGCCGCTCACTGCATCTGGGAGGGTGCTTCGTGTCGTTTGTACTGTGGATGGCTGGGGTGCGGACTTTTTGGGCGGTTGGTTTGACGCCAATCCCACTGTACGGCTTGGCAGAGGTGGCCAATGAGGGTCGCGTGGCTTTCTGGTTGAGAACATTGCTGATTCTACAACAGACGAATTCTTAATATTGTATGGTGGAGTCCGGTGCAGCTGCGGTGAGCAAGAGAAAGCGTCTCCTGTCTCACGGCCCGGTGTTCCACGACGCTGCGCCGTGGGGCACATCTGCCGCAGGCCTTCTGTTCCAAGACTGCCATGGGCGCGAGAGCGGCCAAGCAGACTATGGGAACCATTGTGGCTCCACGTGATCAGATATAGGGGATCAATCCATGGGATGAACGCGGTGAATAACTTGTCCATGTCAGGCAGACGTTGGTGGGCACAAACAATGCACGTAACATTCTGCGATGATGCGGATGGCCCAATGCGTCCGTGAAAGGCGGCTTGTTAACACGGTCGTCGTTGCGGCAATACCAGTGCTGCGGGCAGCGTCAACTACTGAAACCGAATGATAGCAGCATCAACAGCAACACAGGGTGCGCTCAGGAAAACACTTTGTTCTGACGAGGTCTCAGATTCAGGGACACGCGAATGACCAAAGCAGCGATGCAAGAAGCCAGAGTTGGGCTGCAGAGCTGCGCGCTCGCAAACAGACTGTTTTGAGCGGCAGGGAGCTCCGCTGCAGACACAGGACACAGAAAGACCCACACACACCCACACCTCCACTGCACGGTTGTCAGCGCATGTACATTATGACATTATGACATGACATTATGGCCATTATGTTCCATTATGTTCCATGCGCCCCCGGGACGACACGCAGGTCCTTCGGCGACCCAGCAGCGGTCTCGTGAGAGCCAGAGCAAGCTGAACAACCCAAGCCAACGAATTATTCTCCACCGAAGGAGAACTACATGTGCGTCCCGGGCCGTACATAGCGCCCGCGTCCAGCGGCGCCGTTGAAATTGTCCCATGCGAATGAGAACGACATGAGCCATCCATCCATCCAGCCGCGATCCACGACCAAACCCTCCATCTAGCCTCCTGCGGGCAAGAGCGCGGCACAGTTGGCCGGGACGTCGCCAGGCATGCCTCGCGAAACAGAGGCAACAGCCAGTCGCGCAGCCCTTAGCCATCGCCCGCTCGCTTGTGGCGCAGCAGCGCAACAGCAGCCGGTGGCAATGGCGCGTCGCGCGCGTCGCCTTGCTGCCGCCCGCAGTCCAGCCCTCCACCGTCAGCGCCAAGCGCAGTGCGAAAGAGCACCTCTCATACCAGCCGGTGCTGTCACAGCAGCCGCGGATGACATTTGAACAAATCCCCCGGTGTGCCCATCAAATGAAGCTCCAACCCGGAACCGGAACAGCAAATCCCCACAGCACGCAAATGAGCTTGAAGGGGGACCATAGCCAAGGAGTGAAACAACTACCCTGGTCGGCAACCTCAAACCGAGCGTTCAAAATTCCTGAGAGAAAAGAACTGCCGTCTTCTTTAGTTTTTTTCCCTCGAGTCCCAGCAATTTCGCCTAAGCCTTCCAAATTTTTGTTTCTTTTTCGCTTTTTCCCTTGATTTTCGGGGAGTGAAATCTATATTTAGGTCCACTCGCTCTCGTCAGGCTCCAAGGCGTAATCTCGAGTTCCCCCAGCGGTCCTCCCCCAAAGCAAGCCATTCTGAGGATCAAATATTCCGATAAAAATTCCCATAATCAATGAAAGCAGGAAAGTACTGACTGTCCACGCTGCGCCTGCCCCAAAAACCAACAACCACAACAACCAGCGATGATGCAACCACCCCCCCCACACACCTCCCTGTCCTGTACAATCGTGCAATAACTCTTGAAACAAAAGCCCATGTTAGCCTTCCTATCTCCCAATGTGTGTGTCTACACACGCGCATCTACTGCCTTGAGTACCCATGCATTGATCGAACTACACTTGTTCGGGCCTCCCTGGCCATGACCGCCACTTTGCGCCCGTCCACCAATTCCCTTGCGGTCAACGGCCGTCCGCACCTTCCACCATACGGCCATCGTGCTACCATCTCCACTTTCACGTTCACCTTCTTGCTACATAATTGTCCACCACCAGCCCCTCATGGACCACAGCCCTCCGTCATCATCGACTTGCGCTGCTGCGCAGAAAACTGCCCAACCCGCCGACCTCGAGATGTGGGAGACCCACAGGGGTTCAAGCGGCCGGCTTTAAACCTGTCAAGACATAGTTAAGAACACAGTGAGCATATTAGGAGGCTGACAACACCATCAATGTGCAATTCAATACACAGCACTTCAGGCTGATCACACAAGCAACAGCGAACCCCATGCTGCTGATCTCTTTAGGTAATTGCGCTGCTTTTGGAGACACACGCAAGAGCGACTGCTGCAGTGTGTCCTGCCAAGTCGGCCAATCCGTATGCACACCAGTGGAGCTGCTCTTGCACAAACAAACGCTGGAGGCATCGTCCGGCCAAGGCATTGGTTTTCTACCTGAACATGCACAGCTGGCCGCAGCTGCGACAATGAATGCAGCAAGCAAACACTATGGAACGAAACAGCTGTGGACGCGAAGAGCAACTGACTTCGTCTGCCACGTGTGGCAACAGCAGACACTTTGCCATCTTCAGCTCATTGCAGCCGAAGAAGAATATATAGAGGAACCCCTCTTCTTCTGGCGACTAGGGCAACGCTGGTCAGTGGTTCAGCGGTTTAGAGTTTGGGTGTCTGAAACAAGAAGGGATCTTCACAGACAAGACAGAGCGACTAGTTGCATGTCCAACCCAAGTGCTTCAGGCAAGCAGACAGGGAACGGGACACCTGTCCGTCAAATGGGACACCTGTCCGTCAAGCAGCACTCACTTGACACCGCATGCATTGCACAGCGTCTTCTGCCCAAACGGACCCGCACGCCACTGTGGAGTCTTCGAGGCGCCGCAGTGCGTGCAGCGTCTCTGTGGACTTGCGCATGGGGTGCCGCTCATCTCGCGCCTCAGCGTAACGGCGGCGAACTTTTCAAAGCTGGAGGTGGAGCATCGGCGCGGCATGGCGCTTTTAGAGTATCACCGACCGTGGGTCCAGACAGTCAAGAGAGTAGTGCCTGCGGTGCCCAGGGGTCACTGGCACCATCCCATAAGGCGCCTGCGGAGCAGAGGAAGGGATTCTGCACAAAACTTCGCAAGGGTACATGATAGCGTGCTTAAGGATGTAAGTATGCTTACTTATGAAGTGGAACACCGTGGTCACATATCCCCTGTTTGAGCCGGACATTGACAAAGGAGTGTTCAATTCTCCATCGGTCTGTAAGCACCCCACCCCAAACAACTGTTCCAGGGGCCCTGAGATTCCACATCCTCATGAGCCAAAAGTGAGCACACAGAGACAGCACCATCTACACAATCCAAGGAGCACGGCAGCACAGGTTTCTCCATCACTTGATAGCTCTGAAAGGCGAAGCAGATGGATTGAGCAAGGTAGTACTGGCAACAGGCTTGCAGTGAACAAGCCTCCACTGCACACCCAGGCGGGCACAAGGCTTCTTGGAAAATGCTCCACTCACCCCAGGCACAATGCCGGGCATCTTCTGGGACACCAGATGAACCCCGAAAGGCAGTGGTCCATGACAGTTGGCAGGCATCTGTCCCAGCGCTCCCCCGTTGGGAGCCACCGGTGTGTTTAGAGGCGCTCTCAATGGCCCCATGCTAAAACTGTTTGCTGCGCCCGGCGATTCGGCGAGCTCGTCTGTTTGGTGCATCATCAGCGACGAGTTGTCCACAGACCGCTGCATCATCATCCCACCAAAGCTTCCATCCAAGCTTGAAGCGCTTGGGCCTGCACAAGTGCCAACAGGGTCACCTGTCAGTCAGCAACAAGAGGGCGCCATGTGAAAACATTGGAGCACATGTAGATGTGTTCACGACTGCAGATAGCATTGGGAACTTCACAAAAGCAAGGCCCATCCTTTAGGCATGACAAAGGAGAGTGCATGCATGATCGTTTTGGTGCTTGTCCATGCCACCTTCATTACAGACTTGCCTGTTGCTGCCTCATGTGGAAGACAGTGTCAGTAAACAGATGGGGTGCAGTCTGTATTCATCCAGGCATAGCAGATTGGACCAGGAAAAGTCGCCCTGACTGACCATTTACAACACTGTGTTTGGCACAATTTCGTCGCAAAGTTGTCGCAACCAGACATCCACAGGATGGTGCCACAATGCCCCAGTGGGCAATCGGCGGCTCTGTCCACGAGTCCTTGACGGGGTACAGGCACAGGGATTGGCAGGGACAGGAACTGGCAACAGTTTCCACTGTGCTACACATGCAGCCACTGGCCTCGACCCTGCAACATGCGCGCAACAGATTTCCAACTGCCAATTTGTTCCCCACCTGTTGGGAAGTTGTCAGTGTTGCTGGCACCCAGGTCCTCCGACTTGGGCTCCCCCCAGGGCTTGGGCGGCTTCAGGAGGCTGCCGCCAGACAGCCAGTCCAGCTGCATCAGCTCTGAGTCGCTCGCTATGCCCGGGGCGAGTCCCTGGGAGAACTCCACCAGCAGGGACTCCTCTGAGTCCGAGGGCCAGCTGGCGAACTCACCAACGCCAGGGCAGCCATTGGAACACATCTCCGTCGCCGTGTGTTGAGCCGGACCCTGCTGACCAACAGCTGGGAGTGGCGAATCTGTGGAAGCCCGCAACAAGATGAGCAAAAGCTAGACACGTATGCCACCAGTTGTGAGACCTCTGCTGTTTTGCCCAAGGGGAAAATCGGTGCTGACTACCAGAACACAGCCGAGCATGGCATCGACTTTTAGCCAGGGTAAAACCAACGTCCCAGCAAAGAAAAGGAGACACAATGGTCCGGGGGCACTATCCGAACACAAGGGAGGCGAACAACAGGGTTCATCACCGCTCTCCATTATGCTGCAATCCCACAACACAGGAGGATTGAGCAAGTGGTGCCACCCGAAAGGGCAGCCGACCCATGCCAGCAAGGCTGGAATCGGCAGAAAACAACGTGGGACAGCGCGGGCGAGGCCACCGGGACCCGGGCGCGATGAGACAAAGCCTACCATGCCCTCCTCAAGGGCGCCACGGCAATCAAACGAAGCCGGCGAGCTGAGGCGGCGCGAGCGGCCTTAGCAGGGGCAGAATATACTCCTCGAAACCACTCTGAACGCATTGTCAGGGGACAGCACGAAGTCTCGAGAACTATCTGCTCAACAAAACAGACCCAGCAGACCTTTGTGCCCCGGGTGATAAGTGCTGTCGCTAGGAGCACTTGACGCCTGGGTGGAATGGTGGGAGGATTTGGGGACACTGCGCAACCCTAGCGACGGCCGCGATAAAGAAAACGCCGGACCAGAGAGCGCAGGCGCGAAGACAGTGCCCGACGGGTGGCAATCGGGGGCGGCCCTGAGCACTGCCGGGAGCTTGTGCGCGCCCGCGCCGCCGCATCCGATTCCAAAATCCAATCGCGGCGCCGCGGGCACGGGGTTTTGGGCGCGAGCCCCATCACCACTCTCGGCCGCGCCGACAAAGAATCCCGAGACCGATGACTCGCGCAGCCGCAGGCGGGGCGGCGCCGCGCGAATCGCGGCCGATCCGGCGGAGTCTTCCACCGGCAATCCCGGCCCCCCGGGATGGCCGGCCGGGGCTTCCGTGAGTGTCGTGTCGAGAGGGGGGCGCGGGGCGCACCTAGGACCAGGTATCTCGGGCAGGAGCTGCCGAGCTCTCCTCCGTGCGTGGCCTCGTCGCACCTCCAGCAATACACCTGCGCCCGGTGGACGTCGCACGACAACCGTCAGAGCCTCACCGCGGGGCCCCAAGGGGCGTCCAAGTAAAGGAATATCTATCCCCACAGATTGGCCTGGCGGAATGCGCGGGAAAGGCAAGGGATTGCGAAAAGACCGGGCGGCAGCTGTTCCCCCGGGGTGGGCAATCGCGCTGCCATCGCCCGAGCGAGAAAATCGGCGCAATGCGGACCGCCCAGGGTGGCGGGGACCGGCGGACTGGCCCGTTGGATGGCATCGGCGGGCAAGGGGGGATGCGTGCCGCGGGCGACCGACAGGCCGCCGCTGGCGCCTCGCGAGACGAGGAAGCCATTCGAGCGGCCGGAAAGGGAAAAAGTGCGCCACTGACCGATCCCCAACAAGCACACACCCTACGACAGGTGCAGAGTCACAGAGCGGTTCCCCCTCCCTGCCAATACACGACAGCGGGGCGCGGCACGCCCGCCGAAAAGTCCACCCGCGGCTCGCCATCGCCCCACGGCCCCTTTGAAAAATTCACACGCGCGACCGCCCCGGCGCCCCGCGCGGACGCTCACCTGTCGCGCCGCAGCCGAAAACACCTTCGCGGGCGCGGCCTGCGCACAGCAGCACACACGTCACCCCACGGCCCTTAGCACCGCCAATCCAGTCCCCCACCTCCCCGTTCCACCGCCTCCCGCCTCCCGCCTCCCGCGCCGACGATGCAGCCCGGCCCCCCTCCCCATGGGTCGCAAATTCGAACCGCGCAGCACCGACCTCGGACCCCCCCACACCCCCCACACCCCGCCCCATTCCCCACCCAGCCCCAATCCAATCACCACACCGGCGCAAACAACCTCCCCGCCGCGCCTGCCACCAGCGCACGGCAAGGCCCCTGCGTCGACCGAGCCCCATCCCGACCCGCCAACCCACACAAGAAAACACACAGCACGCCCCCCCCCCCTCACCCCACCCCCCACACATAGACGGCCACACGCAGGCTCAATACCGCACACAGAGGCCCACCTTGCACGCCTCGCAAATCAGCTTCTTCTGTCCCCCCTCCGTGGCGCCTCCCTCAAGTTGCACCCTCCTCACGCCACCAACCTCCCCTCCTCCGACTCCTCCGCAGATTGCTCCCCCGCAGGCAGGCCCGCCGCGGGCCACCGCCGCCCTAGCCCCGTCGCACTTCGAGCACAGGACCACCTCCCGGGCGCCCACAACGGCCACTGCAGCGGGAGCCTGCCTGCACGCCTCACAGAGAAAACGTACCATCCCCCCTCAACAACGGACCGCCCGAGACCCGATCCCTGGCTTTGTAGGGCCCCTCAGGCACCGCGCAGGACCGCCCCGACGGGCATTTGTCAACCGGGGCGGGCAAGTAATCCCGTTCCGTGTCGGTCACAGGGGAGAGCGGTGCGTAATGTACAGGGGTCCCCACGGGCACGGGGTCGGCGTGGGCCAGTCATGCTCGGCTGGTGTACTGGGGTAATGTACTGGGCCAGGGGGTGGGGATTGGGGATTGGGCGAGCCCGGTGATTGGCTGGGTGGTGATGTGACGGGGTGGGAACGAGGATGGGGCGACTGGGGTGGATTCTGCCTCTTTGTGGGGCCATCCTAAAGTACTGGGACGTGGGTGCAATTCCATCGATTTACATGTCAGCCGAGGCAAGACAGGCCCTTTCATCAAGCTGGCGATGTCGGGCTGCGAAAGCAAGCACGGGCCGGGGCGTGCTCGAGGAGGCGCGCTAGGTATGTTGCCGCCTGAGCTCAATTTCATTTTGCAATGGCTCAGTCAAGCAAGCAAACATGACGCCGAAAAGAAATGGACAGCAGGGAGCAAAAAAAGTCAGCTCACCCAAGAGTATCTTGGAGTGCTTTATCATTCCGGACAATTGAATTCAACAATGACTGCACAATCAGAACTTGTCCCAGCCATTCCCCCTCCTGTAGCTGCTGCCGTTGTTGCTCTGTTGCGCTTTGCAGGCTTTTCCACTCAGCCAAACAACTGAAGGTTCCTTGGCTCTTCTCTTTCCCCAGTTGTCTCGTTGTTTCCCTTTGATCTTCTTCAGCGGCAAACCTGCGGACATTCAGCGTACGCATGGGGAAGCTGGCAAGCGGCTGGCGGCTTACAAACCTCTCTTACCTTTCTATTTGAAGGCAGTTGATTGCTGTATTACACTTGCTGCATGCTCATTTCTCTGGGAGAACGATGGCGGTAAAGAAAAGGGGGAATCTCTTGAAGATCATATTTTCCAGTTGATCCATGGCTTTGGAGAATGAGAATGGCTACAGGCAAACCTCCTCCCTCCTGCCAAGCAAAATGCAAGGAAGGGGGAGCGGTTGCACAACTACAAACAAGTCGATGGTCGCCATTCAGTGGCCAGTGCCAGTTCGTTCGCCGTTCACTGATCGGAACTGGGGCAGGCCGTTGCTTGGCCTCGCTGCGTTGGCAAGCCTGTGTACTGAACGCCATGGGACGACACAGAATCAGGAATCGTCCTCGCCTCAGCCACCCACATGCAGCACAACTCTGAGAATGAGGCACATCATCGTCCCCAGAATGGCCACAAGCCGACGCAGAAAAAGCCACAGGTTAGCCACAATTTATAGCATATTTATATACTTTACAGACAACCATATCGCAACAGGCAAACCCCATCCCCAACAACCACAATTCTGGGACAAAAACGCTCTTGGCATAAAAGAAGCGTGCTGGTTCAACCGACATTTTTCGCAACCAAATATTCGGCAAGCATTGCCACAGGATGACCTGGCTGCTGTCCTCCCCCTGGCAGGCGCACATCGCGGACGTCTCGTCACATCACGCTGGAATCCACAACAAGGCACCTCATCTGCTGACGGCACCGTCGGCGCAAGTCATGACTATGAGTGGTACACCCTGTGAGCATGGCTGCGGCTGCGGCACATTGGGCACCTGTTGAGGCTGAGGCTGCATATCTCGCAGCAGCACAGGTGCCCACAGGGTATGAAGACGAAGTGTGCCTCGCGCTCCCTGCACACGACGCACAAGCCTGGCACACCAATCGCCACATCAGCGTTAGTCTCATCGCTGATTGTAGGTACCAAATTGCGACAAATCACAGTCATTGTCATCGTCCAATGTTGTTCATGTTGCCACAAATAATGCTCACGGGAATGTGACCATCACCAACGTTCCGATCTAGATATATTCCCGTCTGGTAGAAGAGGCTGCCTCAGGCTCCGTTTGTAGAGCACTGCTCTTGCTTTTATAAGTGCAGTTCATATATGCCACAGCTCATTCGTGAAACCTTTCTGTTCCATATGCCCATCCAACTTTGTGAGATCTTTGCACTGTGTGTTGTCCCTTTGTTAAAATTGGCTGTTGAAACAAGCAATTTTGACATTTGGCAACACCAACAGCCCAGTTGAAGGTGCTGAAAACCCTATCCAATTGTATGGAAAAGTGCATAACATCCACCACTTTGCCAAGGCTAGCAAACCCTCAGCCAACTTGTCCATTGCTTGCGTTGAATGTGCATTGTCAATCAGCACAGCCAGTCACTCAGACAGTCAGGCCCTCGACCAATAGCTCAACATCCAGCAACATCCAGCAGAAAGAAAGATCCAAGAACAACTGATGCAGTACAGCTCCGTCCAAACAGTCCGTTATTTTGGGGCCAGGTGGTGTGCTGCTTAATGCTCAATGAGGCGTCGAGGGTCTGCAATGTGCGACTTGAATCGGAGGTCTGGCTCTGCATGGAGCCATGTAGCACAAACCAGTGATAGCACTGCAGAGGATGTGGGCAACATTGTAGCTGCTGAACAAGGCTTGAATCATCTGATCACATTTGTCCAAAACAGGTATATATATATATATATGTAACATATATATATCTCCATATATATCGCTCGCAACATACTCTTCTAATAACATAATATATATATATATATATATATATATATATATATATATATATATATATACGCCTCATATCTTTCCCATACGGGCTTGATGTTGAATAACGTGCATCGTATTGTTTACAAAGCATGGGTTGTTCCTTTCAGCCAAGCAGGCTGTCGAAACTTTCGCTAGTCACCTTGCATGGCTGCACAAACATGTGCAATAACGGCGGAATAGTCTCGATGCTGAAAGGGGCTTAGATATATCAACGTGCTTGTTTGCAGCAAGTTGTTATGCCCACCCCTGAGTTCGTGGCAAGAATGTTGCCCATTGGCAAAATAGTTAAACGCATATTATTTCTATCAAACTGCTGGGACTGGTGCATGAATTGCTTGCAACAGGAAAAAAGGGGCCAATTCCATAGTGTTTCTGGCACAATATTTTCACAGTGGTATGTGCCCAGCATGCGCCCCGTGTTGGCCAAGTGTTGGCTGAACACGTCCCATAGGACCTGTTCACCAAGACATCGCCAGATAGATGTTGGGAAAGGGCAGCACGCGCTGCCAGCAGATGCACTCCCCTGGCTCCGTGCCCTCATTGCACCTGACAAACGTCAGGGGAATTCAGTGACAAAGTATTGCCTCCACCACACGGCTATGAGCACGACCTGGAGTCCCTCTTGCACATGCCACATGATGTGTCGCCTTTGTGAACAAGGGACCAGGCCATGTAAAACTTGACTGGAGACTGAGTGGCCAAGTCCAACGATGTTTAAGGGGCATCGCCAGCCTGGGCACTCTCACCTTCGTCGTTGTCCTCGTCTTCCTCCTCCCCCCTTGCCTCACCTCCAGCTTCCTCCCCCCTCCTGGCCGCCGCAAGAGCTCGTCGGTTCCTTCGGCGACGCTCTTCCTCCTCTATCCGTTTCCTGCGCCACACCAACGTTTCAGCAAGCAATTCCTGTGACAATCTGCAGTGGGAAGAAGATATCAATAGATGTTTCCAAGCCAATGAATTTTAGACAAGTGTGCATCCCCAGCAGTAAGCAATATGTTGCTTGTTCCCTGCTGTTCACAATTCCAAACTCCACCCCAACAGCACAGCACCAGCAATAGTGGATGGCAAGCATTTGGTCCACCTGGACATGTGAAGCCGAATAGCTTTCAGCTCACCTCATTTGATTGTACCTACGGGCCGTTGAAAACGACTTGTAGACGCTCCTGAAGATCAAAAAGGCGCCCAAGGCGCCAAAGCCCACTGCCAGCCACTGTCCGCAGGCATGCATCCAGCATCAATCTTGCTGTATTGCGACTCTCAATTAATGTTTCAGGCCTTTACTGCAATTTGAGGAGGTTAATGCTAAAGAGGTGACGACTTGTGCTGGATATTGGCCTTTGTTGAAGGACCACAGGCATGGCATGGACGCTGCATATTCCAGACAGGATATGTGACAATGACGATGAGGCGCTCAGCCCCAAAGACAAGCATGGACTCAGTCAAGTCCGAATCAAGTCAAGCCATGTTGTTTCGTCCAAATTTCGTTCTACATCGTGTCAAAACCACTAAAGTCATATATACTGACTCAAAATCACCAAATATGTCCAATAGCCAAGGTTAGTTGTGTGCAACTGAGCCTTGAAAAGAAACAAAGGCGGTCACATGTCCGGGTTACAGTGTAGGCACGATCACAAACTTGGCGCAAATGCTGAGTTCAGGGCACTGGTGACCATGGCCAGCCAGTGATGAACAGAAACAAAACACACAACTGGGGCGACACCACTGGCATTCCGTTTCTTTCCATTCCCAACAGGTACTTATCAGTGCCATGCAGCTGCTGGTGAACAGCACCTGGCATCGCCTAATGCAAGGACAGCGCATAGCTATGATCGGCAAATGTTAAGTCTTAAGCCGTTCACCTTGCATGTGCTTGCAACTCGGCTAAGGGATGCATGCAACTCGGCAAGCGTCTTGGAGCTTATGTAGAATGGCCCCCCACCCTGGGGCCGACGGACCACGAACTTTCTCTGGCCATCCTCGGTCGACTGGGTCAGCTCTCCCACGATGGTGATCAAAGACCCCACGGCAAGGACGCGTTCCGACTTCTTCACACCCAAGGGCCTGTAACCTCTGCAGCACAGCACAAGAGGCTCCAGGTTCAGGGCACACTGGAGATGGACAGCATCGAGGAGACAAATGACCTCAGCTGTTTTGGTTAATTGAATCTCAATAGCAGCAGCAACAACAGGTAGCACGCTAGCTATTGTGGTATATACTGCAAGCTCTACAAAACACCATGCTGCAACAGAAGGGCATGGCTAGACAGGCAAAAGATGTGTCATAAGATAAACTATAGCAAGGAGGAGATGATGTTACACAATTGCCTCCTCCCTCCCCAACCCACCACCACCACCACTGAGGGTGCAAGTGTGTTTGTGAGACTCTCCTCCATGCCGTGAGTATCATGCAGAAGCCTGTGTGTGGAAGTGGAAAGTACACAGCACATGGACAAAAGGAACGTGGCTGATGCACTGATCTAGGGATAGCTCAGACACTCACGTTAGTCGGTCCAGAATCCTGCTGTACAAATTTCTGTTGCCTTCCCGGTACTCTTGCGCTGATAACAGCATCGCTGTCCTCAGGAGGTCCGCTTGCTGGCAGTTCTCAATGCCCAGCCTAGTCTTACCTGGGTCCGTCTGGGCATCGCAGGGGAATGCTTCAGAGAGAGCATTTGTAAAACACATGATACAAACAACAAAATGTTGACAGGGGGATGGGATGGAGTGGAAGGATCAAGTTGTTCTGTTTTCACATTGTAGAGCACTAAAAGTCATAACATTAACATTTACCCTAGTTAAGCAGTGACATGAACCGTTGCCAGTGTGTCTGCCCTGACTTTGCACATGAGGGTAAATTCAGTAATTACACTTGCTTGTTCGCCAATTATGCCTTGTCATTGTGAAGAAGGCAGCCATCAGGACAGTGTTTGTCCAGAGATTACTCGCTCAAGGGGTAAAGGGGGTTCGCCAGCAAAATGAGAAATCTCCCAAGACCAGGACAGCAGCTCACATGCAAGAGCTGGGTTCATCAAGACGCAGTTGAGAAAGTATATTTAGTCATTACAGTGATGATAGACAACTTTGTCAAGTGTTTGGCGTCCCAGCAAGGTGGCTTACGCATGGTGGCATGGCTAATGTAGAGAGTAGAGAAAACAAAAGCACC